CGTGATAAAAGTTCACCTATAGAAATTAACTCAGTTCAGGCAACGTGATACAGGGGGTGTATTGGGTTCACTTAACATGATCTAACTTTTACCAGTATTACGAACATTATTAGTTCAGGAACTTCTGAAATATGTAGCAGCTTGGACTACATTATGTAAGTTAACCTTCTGATTATGACTTTAAACTGAAGAACTTTTCATGCGTCCACCATCTTGATTGGGACTAGGACTAGCGTTACGAACAATTTTTTTTTTTTTTTTTTTTTTTTTTTTTTTTTTTTGAAATTTATAGTTTCATGATGAGACATTCAACTGGTGTAAAACGGAAACATCAAGCTACTTCCTCGAGTCCTGCAGACGTAGAAGATACTCCACATAAGTTGGTCAATTGCTAATTATTATATAGGTACAAATTTTATAAAATATTACTTTGTTAAAATATTCTATGTATATATTTTTTTGTTCTTAATATATTTGATTTTATGTCATGTTATTAGGAAACAAAATTAAAAAACTAGTACAAATATGGTGTGACAAAACAAGGAGTATCAAAAGAATGGAATTCGATGTCGGAAATTGATAAAAAGCCATTTAGAGATCTATATAAAAAGAATATGGTGTCTTATACTAAGAAAAAGAAAAAGCAGAAAAAACCTAAGGTAAGAAATTCTACATTGTAGGGGTGGTTGATAGTAATATTCAAGGGGTTCTAGTTGATTACAATTACTTGAAAACTGTTATGTATTTTTACAATGTGGAGCCTTTTAACACTCTGAAAAATAGAATAATGTCCCCTTTTACAATTCATTGAAGACTGTTTTGTAGTGTTATATTTGGTTTTCTCTCATCACTAATTATTAATATTATAAATTTATTAGGTAGCACATTTATCAAGATACAATTTTTTTTTCTTATTATTTTGTAATTTGTTGTAGAACAAAAGAGTGAGCACAATGCCGGTGAATATTTTTTTTGAAACTATATCTAGTTTTAAAGAAGACTAGATTTTTGCTGTTTGGGATATAGGTTTTGGAAATCTTCTTGAGTTGAAGTGAACCAATATCTTTGTCAGTACCTGATAGAAAATTTTGATAAGCACAGATGCGGTTTGAGGCTTTCTAATAAACTCATTCCGATAACAGCGACAGATGTCGAGCACATTCTTTGGATAACCAATTGTCACTTAGTAATGGTGAACTCAGAAGGAGATAAGGGTACGACCAACTAGAGTTTGGTGAAAGAAGGTGGTTTTATGAAGAAAAAAAAAAAAAAAAGGAGTATGAAGGTTTGCAAAATTGGTGAGATGCTTCGAAATTGGGATGATCGACTCGCTGATGATGATTTTAAACGACTTTTTGTACTATATGTATGCGAATGCATATTGTTTCTAAACACTACTCATGAGGTGTCGAAAGACTTTTTTGGAATGGTTGATGATGTGAAAAAGATCAACCAATACAATTGGGCAAAGTGTGTGCTTAATGATTTCGTAAAACAGGTTAATAAATTGAAGACATATAAACAAAAATGTTGCAATGGTAGTCCACTTTTTTTAAAGGTATGCATGACCCAAGTGTAATAAAATTTAATTTAAACGATCAGTTGCATCAATTTATAAGTGGCTTGTCAATGTATATACAATTGTTTTATTTGGTCCGTGTTGATTTCAATTGTCCAAAACCAATCAAGTACCATAATGTTGCTATTGATTGGCCTGAACTATTAATTAAGGAGCGCTTAAAATTTGAAATGTCTGAATTAGGGCGATTTGGACTCGGAAAGGTCACCTCAACTTTCTATTCCATGCACGAATGTTTCAAATTATGCCAAATTGTATGTTTAATTGCATAATTTCATATTGTCAATAGATTATACCACAAGAGAAGGAGGATGACAAGGGGGAGGAGGATGATGTTGATGTTGATGTTGGTGCTGATGCTGATGCTGATGTTGATGCTGAGGTAATTAATTGTGAAAATATATATCACTTATCAAAAAGTTAAACCTATCTAATATTATGACCCTACAAATTTTTTATTATACTAATTAACTAAGTTAAGATGGTTAAATTTCATTTAACTTGAGCAAATCCTTCTATTTGGTTAACACTTGTTATAATTATTTAAATCAACTGATGTATTCCTTCTAAAAACCTTGTTATATTAATATTTTTACACAAGTTTTATTAGAGAATTTGGAGATGGACTTCCATCAAGTCCATCAAATTCAAAGACATATGAGGATAAACATATAAAAAATTCGCTTAAAATTTGGGAGAGCGAACAAAATAGCAGCCTCACCCCGATTTGATGGATCTTGTGGCGACCTTGTGGACGGGTGTGTGTGAGCGTGTGCAGGGAACACCAGTAGGCTACCACACTAGGCGAGCTACAGGTGCACAATCCCACATCGTCTGGGTATGGATGGGGTAAGTGCTATATGTAAATTCAACACCCTTCTATGAAACAACGCGTTTTAAAGCCGTGATGGCCGTGAACCCATCAGAACTCTGTAGTTAAGCGTGCTTAACTTGGAGTAATACCAGGATGGGTGACCCCCTGGGAAGTCTCTGGTCTGGGTGAGCCAAAAGCGGACAATATTGTGTCTGGCCAGGGTGAGGGTCGTTACAGATCTCTTAAAAAAGATGGAGACAAATAAAGTATGCATGTCAAAATGAAGTATGCATCAACCCCCAAGGCGCCTGATAAGTAAGTTTACATGTTAAAATGTTCATAAAGTCCAACTTTATATAATAGTTATCTAATATAAATTTTTGTCTTATATTTTTAGAGAAATATTGGTGGATATTGATAATAATAAAGATAAAGAGATGGAGAAAAATATAGAGAAAGACGAATGTGATTTAAAAATTGAGACAGATATTCAAAATGATAAGAAAATTGAGAAAGAGGAGCAAATAATATAAAAGTCTGACCTTATTGTGATAGATCTTTGTCACCTAAAAAACTTTCCAGTGAAACCTTCTAAACCGGTGCGTGTCAATCAACCAAGTCGATTCGTAAAATCTCCATTTTACATTGAATCGGTTAAAAAGTGTACAGTTTTCTCTAACAAGTATATGAGGAAAGTATTGAAGTATGCATCAAACCTCAAGGCACCCGATGAGTAAGTATACATGTCCAAATGTTTAAAAAGTCATGGTTTTATAATAGTTATCTAATATTCATTTTGTTCTTATATTCTTAGGGATATATTGGTGGATATGCATGAACATCACTTAAGCCGCGGACAAGTCCGGATATTACTGAGTAGAGAATGGATTGATAGCCTGGTCAGTGTTATTGTTTTATGAAATGTATTTATGTTACTAATGTATTTAAATACGATATTAACAAGTAACACATTAAACTTTCAGCTTGTTGACATTCTCGTGAAAGTGTTGGTGATTAAAAATAATCAAAAGAGATACTTCTTTTTTTATTCTCCTATTGCGGTAAGTCTTTTATATAAAATGTTGTTTTATTAATGATTCAGACATTTGTTGTTGATGTTGCTTTGTACGTGTGTAGTCATCAATTTTACAAGCTAATGGGTGTGATGCTATTAAGCGGAGAGTTATGTTAGATGATGTATGGAAGAATAGCTTGAGGATCTTTAAAAAAAATAAAGATGAAATTCTAAAATATAGACGGGTATGTATGATTTATTTAACTATTAATGATTCGTTTCATTATCCATTGAGGCGTGTTCTATTTTTTATATTTATAATTATGATGTGTTCCAGTTCTTTTTCCCTACGTCAAATGACAAACATTGGTTACTCTACGTTGTTGATATTGATAAATTAACCATTTACTTGGACTCCCTTAACAACAAGATTAGAAGAAAATACGCTTACTTACTGGTAATGAGGTTTTAATGAACTCCTGATTAGAAGTTTCAATGTGTTTTTTTCTGTTAGTTTTGAGTTTTAATGTTATTAACTAACGTATATAAATATCACTTAATTGCAGAAAGAATTCATGAAAGTTTCTAATAGTGATTTTGTTCTTCTTTTTTATTAAACAAACCCAATATTATCTTGATTACAACATGAAATAATAATAATCATTCAACTCTAGTGACTTGTTGAGTTACCCACACCATCTGAAAATTTAAATGAAATTCTGCCATGGTTCTTGGATGTAATGTTGAAATGAGTCTCTATAAACTTGAATGGAAGCCAGGGATCCTTCTTATTCTCATGACAATTGGATGATAATACTCACCATAGCTGATTCGTTGCGAAAACTACCATTTGCTTTCTTTCTATAATTTGAGCTTGCCGAAATCAACTTTTTGAACAGGATATGGATATGTCTCATAATTGATTTATTGGCCCAAACTACTTAATTTTGTCAGAGCAATTATCAGGTCAACCTGAAAAAAATCAAATTTCATACTTTTGTTATACAACATAACATCTTTATTCTTTTTCTGTTATAGATTCCACAAGAGAAAGTGGTATATAAAGAATTAAGGGACTCTGAAAGTTGAAAGCAACATAAACGTTGATAATATAATAGAACTGGAAAAAGTAATTGGAATAATTCAATAGGATCACAACTTCTGGTATGCCTCTAACAAAGTATGAGTATTCGAAACCAGATTACAAAGTATAATTCAACAGAACAATAACAATAATTCCCAAGGGAAGTAAAGTAAAAGCAACTAGGCAAGTTAACTCTCAACAAGAACCAAATAATGAAACTCAACTAGGTAAGAATTCCCAAAGGAAGTAAAGTAAAACAACCATCTTCAATTAAGCTAATTATCTCCGGTACCATCTAATTCATCTACAAAATTATGGGGGGTGAGCAAAGCCCAGATTGAAAAATACAAAACAACGCCATATATGTCTTCTCAACTACAATTTCAAGAGTTTAGATCCAAGGGCTGCATTTAAAAAAAATACAATAAATAAAAACAAAATATGTATTACCATCAATAAATAGCCAATTATGATTATAAAAAATAAATAAATAAAATAATAGGCTTACCTAATCACAGCTTAGATTTGCTGATGTTGTATCTTTAACATGATTGGTTGTCTCATTGACCTAGCAATAAGTGTGTTATATAAATAATTATCATAATTGCTTAAACAAACAAAAAAAAAAATTACAATATAACAATATATGAAATAGGTAATAACCTGCTTGAGAAATGGACAATAAGATGATTGAGAAGCAATATTCATTGCTGTGGTGGCTTGTGACAAATCATAGTTCAATATTTTTGCATTTGTTACACTATCTTTATCACACCGATTAAGAAGTTGAAGCCTCTGGTAGTCGTAAATCCTTTGTAAGTTAGGGCTTGGGGGTGGACTAGGTGGTATGGACATCCATGCATACTCACTTAGAATTTCAGCACCCTAAAAAAAATATATATTTATTAAAATGAAAATCCAATGGTAGTCAAACCGGTATGTTTTAAACATTTGTAACATAGTAGAGTGCTACTCACCTTATGCTTCACGTATGATTGAACGGGTTGTTTCATCGATTTCTTTCCCTTTTTTGTAGCAATTTCAAATGTTGGTTTGAGTCTTTGTTTCTACCCTCTTGATGTGTCCCGTTTTTTAAAACCATTTACAGTAATGTCATGGCCACTTAGCTCGTAAGTGACATGAATTTGATGCCCATTGTCAACCTTGGATGAGTATTCATTATTACGTTGTACCCGCTTTTGCCTTCTCATTTCTTCAAGAAGCTTAAGCAAATGTTCCCCTTGGATAATGGATAAATTAAAAAAAATCTTCACCCTCTAATGCAAATGAACTAACGCGAGTGAATAGATAACAAATATCTGTATATCTTTGTCATTATTGCAATTTAGGATCTGTTTGCACTTCACGACCAACGAAATCCAACACTGCCCATCTCTTGCCTCTCGCGTCCACCGTTTCAGGATGTATTCCTTAGGTAATTCAGTTTTGTGTAGCACTTCTCTCATGACCTTTAACATATGTGAACACGGAATATCATTCATTTCAAACATCCAACAGTTGCATGCCAAATAGTCATCCGTTTTCTTTCTTACACGCCTTTCTTGATTATGTTTTTCAAGCGAGACCACTTTGTATATAACTTCTCCATTCTGCTGAATTTCTTTTTGAAATAATTGAAATATTTTTTTCATGTAAATCTCACCAGCTTTGACTACCATCGTGCACGGAAGTTTAACATTCAGCTCTTGGTGAGTCAAATTGTACTCCGCCTTTAGTTCAATATACCTTTTTTCTCTATGACTATCCTTTCAAAGTGTTTGAAAGAATCGGGAATATTATGGTCAGATTTAGCGAATTTTTTCAATCCGAAATTGAAACTTTCACTAAGTTGAGTGCTATGCATACCAGCACACCAGTGATTTTTCACAAATGTCTTTGCCCTTTTGGTCCTTAAATTATACATTTCAGACAACCATTTGTTGTCACGAATACCACACTCAATTAGCATGGACTCCCAACATATTTCAAAATCGTCTTCGTCCTCATATTTTTTTTCATAAATTCAGATAAAATGCCTGTTATACCCACCGGACCCGTGATAACATTGCCCAAATGCTTTGTACCATTTTGCATAATATGCCATATACAAAGATGGTAGTGTGTCTCGGGCATTACCAATGTTAATGCTTTTGTAATAGTCGCATCTTGGTCACTTATAATTGTCTTCAGAAATTTACGAGACATTGCCTTAAAAAATGTCTCAAACAACCACATAAATGAATCTGCTGTCTCATCATACATCAAAGCACCTCCAAACATAACAGTTTCTCTGTGATGATTCAGACCAACAAAAGCTGCAAATGGTCGATTCACATTATTCACCTTGTATGTTGTGTCGAACGACACAATATCTCCAAAATGACCATAGTCAATAATCATCCTCGCATTAGTCCAAAATATATTGGTTATCAAGTCATCTTTGTCCAACTGAATCGCATGAAAAAATGAAGGATTTTCCAACATCTGGAATTGAAAATACTCAAATATAGATCTAGCCTCTCCAGATTGTAATTGCTTTTGTCTCTTGGTTCTCAACTATTTTTTTTTATCTACTTTTGTAAACCTAAGCGCTTCTCTTACCCTGGATTGTCGTCCCATTAGTTCATATGAAGAACCAACTGGTAGTCCAGAATCATCTGCTAACCCGATGTCAACTGCTTGAGATACAGAGATGTTCCATTGTGAAGGCATCAAATGAGTGCAATCTTTTCTAATAAGTTTATGGTAGTGCTTCTTTTCAAATCTATCTACGAAATATATTTCTTCCTCCCTTTCAAATTTTACATGCATGAATGCACCACATACGACCCTTGTTTCTGCCCTAACTTCTTTTGTAAGATGGTCCTTTTTGTCGTTTTCTCTATAACCCTCCTTGCAACATACAAATTGGGCAGAAGTAATTTCTCCAATTTTATAGTTTTTATTGGAATAATCCATTTTCACACTAAATCCAACTTCACGTCCGTATGTATTGTAAAAGTCATATGCATTTTCAACGGACTTGAACATCATTCCAAATTCGGGTTTATGGCTTCATTCACCTAATGGATTCTCCATTTAAAACCACCACCTATAAGAATATACAAAGTGTATTAGAGAATGCAATTTCTCAATAAACATTTACTATTGTAAATATTAATAATAGTAACTAATAACTTATATATGAAAAACACATGGAAACATCAGTGAAGGAATCATAAATTCAGATTCAAAAAAGGAATCTATAAAGGAATGAGATGGAAAACATGCTTGATTTGATGAAGGTGATATCAAAGAAGTCAATAGAGGAATTAAACATGGTGTAGTCGGAGTTGGAAATTCTAAATGCTCAGTGTCACGAATTGGAGCATTCTTTGTTGGAGGATGATTTAGAGAAAGAGAAACTTAGGAATCAGGTATTGCAATTGGAAAGTAATCTAAAAAAGAAGGAGGATGCATTCAACAGTATTGAGAAGAATGTGAAGGACAAAATGAAATTTTCTGAGGTAAATTATCTACTGCATCTTGTATATTAAACCAGTTGTTACTTGAACATGTTAAGCATTAATGATAAATCAGATGGACTGTGTACAAGAGTAAATAGATGATTTGGTCCAAAGATTTTGTTGGAACCCAAGATGGTTAAAATCCTGATGTCAGTGACCATTATAATTGGAATCATTCAAACATGATTTATATTTTAGAATTTTTGAAAATACTTTCATGATGTGCTAATAACAGTCGTGACTGTTGTAGCTGAAATATGATGTTACCTGATATGCTGTATTGACTGTTTTAATGATCAATAGGATCATATAAAGCTCAAAGAAATTTCCCTTGAAACATTTTAAAATTCATTTTTGGAGGTGAAAAAAGATCTTCAAATCAAAATTGAAGAGTTAGAAAGAAGATTGGAAGAAATTGATTGCAATAGCATGAGCCGTTGTGAATATGAATTCCAAAAGGTTAGCAAAAAAAATCAATGGATAAGAAATAGCCAAAAAAACACATCTAATCACAGGAGCAAACATAAAATAAAAAATCAACAAGTTCGAAACAAGCATGAACACATAAAAAAGCAAAAAGCAAACCCAAAATGGCGTGAAGAGAAGTCATGGATGATGAATCAAATCATATAATACAGTGGTCATTGAAATTAATACAAACAAACAACGTATACTATATATATATATATATATATATATAGAGAGAGAGAGAGAGAGAGAGATTCATAGATATACCTCTAATTTGTATTGAAAGCGAAGAGAAACGGCTTCAATGTGATTTTTATAGAGAGAAAGAGAGTTTAGGTTTGTGAAAAGGGAAAGAGAGAGAGAAAGGATGAGTACCTAAAAATACAATCGTGAGACAGCAAGGAGTGATGTTGGAACAACCCAGTAGAATTATGCTATTTTGAGGTAGACCGTGACAAGGAAGAGAGATGGCGGACGGGACGGTGACGAGGGAGGCGCTGAAGCAGAAGAAGGTATTTTGTTTTCCTTTTTCCTTTTTTCTTTTTTGTTTGGTAGTTTTTTTTTTTTTTTTAAATAATATTTTTATCATAACGTCGTTCTCTTTTTCCGTCTGACTCTAAAGTAACCCATTCTAAAAAATTCTTTTTTGCACTACAGTATGGGTACAACATGACCCATTTACAGTAGAGGATCCTAATCCCATTTGGTTATGAAGCAAAGAATCAAGGGCCTTGTGGCCCGTAGTATCTCCTCTACTTCTTGAAGTGGATGGTGATGATTCAAGTTTCCAAATGAGCAAATTGAGTGTGTGAGTGGTTTGCGTGATTTTCTTATCAATGACAAAATAATAATAATAATAATAATAATGAAGCAAAGAGATACTTATATAAATTCAATTTTTTTGATCTATCGGGAATTAACCAATTTTTTTTAGTAACAATTTCATCTTCTTCATATACTTCTTCTCCTTTAGGAAATGGATTAATCCTCTCCAATAAAATTTGCCATTCCCTGCATATAGCAAAAACACATCAACATCTCCAATGTTAATTGTCATTCGTATCAATTTTAAAAGGGACCACCTAGTCACAATTGGCTAGATTGAAGGAAAGGGACATTTGTGTAAATTCAATTATTTTAATTGATATATATATATATATATATATATATATATGTGTATTAACTACGAGTAATTTATTAGCACTCGCAATCTCATCTTTCTTAATATGTTCACATCCTTTGAAAGGGAAGACAAAAAATAATAATAAATAAAATAAAATTATTATGCTGTCCACAAGCACTTTAAAAAGATGTTGGCATTATTCTCTTCATGTGGACATGGTTAAATAACTTGAATAAAGAAGGTCAGCGAACAAATGCTCGCTCTGGCTTTTATTCCCAAAAGCGACAGAATTTGACGACCAATTTTGAAGTTTGTGTTGTCGTGAAATGGCAGCACAGAGGCCTGTGCTACCACGGGTCACGCACGACAATTACACACTCTCGCTTGCGGAGTCCACACACGGAGGGCCTCCCCTTTCCTCGTGCTATCTCTATTGCCCCGTCACCTTGTGACATGTGTCAAAATAGATGTGCTGCCACGTGGAATTAACTAGGATTACTTATTGAAAAGGGTCGATTTACAGTACTTTTTAAGGTTGGATGAATAAATGGTACACCTTGTGGGTCCAGCAATGAGGAAGGTCACAAAGTTTGGTCACTCAAGAAAAGTGGATTGTCGATAATAGTCTTATCCAAAACTATAGTTGACATAACTGAACTTGCAATTCTTTTCTTTTCTATGTTGGAATTAAAGATATTGAAAATGATTTTAAAGAGGTTAAAGAGGGAAAAAGAAAAAAAAAAATCCTGATATATAAAAAATACGCAAGAAAAAAAAAAACACCAAAACCCCAAAGTACCTCCAAACCGGTGTTTTTTTATTTAATAAAAAATCCAAAATTTTAAAAGTAGTGTTTATTTATTTTGTCTTAAGCGCATTTTAAGTATTTTAGTCTTTAAATTGAAAAATTGATCTTATTTACTCAATTTATTTAAAAATACAGTTTTTTTTTTCTTTTTCTTTTTCACTTTACCCTTTTGAAATTTTTTTATTTTTATTTTTCGAGTAAGCACACGCAATGTACCTGTTTGGAATTGCTTTTCTGCAACTAAAAAACACATTAATTTTTTTTTAAAAAAAAATGCGGTTTGAAGTATTTGGTGACTAAAGAAAATGCGTTTAGGTTGTAGAGATTTCTTTTAAAAAAAAAAGGCATTTTCGTGCTTTTGGAATTACTTTCGAGAGAGTTAGATAACTACTTTTTTTTTTGACAATATAATCCCTCACTTTTCTTTATAAATATAATTTTATCCCTTAGTGATCTACATCACTGTTATTATTCACATTGTATCTAATAAGCCACACACAAACTATAGCATGGGCAGAGTAAAAATTTTAAACTATTTTTCAGTTGTAACATGTATTTAAATTAGTTTTATAATCCGTAATCATGAAATGTTATCCAGCAATCATGCCATGTGGATGAACTCATATTAATATCATACAACATTGTTATTAATGTATGTCTAATATAGTAAATTAATAATAAAAGTGTTTTAAATAATATTATTACTAAATAAATTTAAACGTGGTATAAATATAAAAAGTGCTTTATAAAATGCATCACCAAACGTATAACATACTTTTTATAGATAGCAATTTTATAACAGTTCTACTGTTAAAAGCGTTTTCATCATTTTAACAACAATCCCAAACTGAAAGAACGGTTTAAACTCTTATCCCGTAATGTGTCACTTAAAGTGAGTTTGACACTATATTCATATTACAACCATTGTATTCAAAATCCCATTATACACGCGAGTCTTAAACACTCATCAATTGGTCGGATTAATAATCACAGAAATTTGGTGCATTGAGCAAGCTAAGAAGAAGTCTTAAATGTGCAACAAAAGTTATTTATGAGTCGAGTGATTCTGATCACAAAAATAACATTTTCCTAATAAATATATATATATTTTTCTTGCCATGTGTTCTCATTTATATTAAATACATAAGAACATTTAGCAAAAAACATATTTTAACCAGTGCTATAGTTTATTTTTTGATTGAATTAATATTAAGTTAAAACTAAAGGACAATGTAAAAGTTTTGAATAACTCCATTACCTCTTCAAACATATAAAAAATAAAAAATATAAGTAGTTCGATACTTAGTAGAATATATTTGATTTTATATGTAAACGTAGATGATATAATAATGATATTATTATAATATTATGATGAAGATATTTTTCACTCAGTATTTTATTTGAACGTTGAATAATGTCAAAATGACGCCATTATATACACACACACACATCTGGAAGGCAAGCTAAATTTCATTTTTTATGTGTCAAATTTATAATTATGGGATTCTAAGATAAAATTGAGAGTTTATTTATTGGGATATAAATAAATATTAAATACAGATCAAATGACTAAAATATCCTTACACTATCTCAAAATTATAAAAACCCAAACCTTATCTTTTCAATGTGTCAAACTATTATTGGAATTTACATCTGTACTTAACCTTAAAACTTTGCACTATGCCATCAACAAAAACCCAAAAAATAAATTAAAAAAAGCAAAACAATTAAAAAAAAAAAAAAAATCAGAACAAAAGAAAAAGATTATTGAAACAAAAATCGATTTGGGTACCGAAAGTTTTCATTTTTTTTTTGTCAAATTGCATTGAAAGCAGAGCCATATATATCACAACAGCAGGCGCACTCTCTCTCTGTGTTAAAAGTTCTCTTTTTCTCGCTCTAAAATCAAACCACCAACATTCATGATGCAAACGGCACACGAAGCGGAACAGCGATTGCTTGATGAATTCGAACAAGGGGAAGAAGAAAGAGCGTACGAATCGACCGAGAAAGTCCACATCGTCGGAGTCGGCGAGGACGCCGACGACGACGACTACGGCGTCAAAAGGCCGCCGTTTTCATGGCGGAAGCTGTGGCTCTTCACTGGGCCCGGGTTCTTGATGAGCATAGCGTTTCTCGATCCGGGCAATCTGGAGGGCGACCTTCAGTCCGGTGCGATCGCAGGGTACTCTCTGCTGTGGCTGCTCTTGTGGGCCACGGCCATGGGCCTCCTCGTGCAGCTCCTGTCGGCGCGGCTCGGAGTCGCAACTGGCCGACACTTGGCCGAGCACTGTAGGGAGGAGTACCCCAAATGGGCGAGTCTGCTGTTGTGGGTCATGGCCGAGTTGGCTCTGATTGGGGCTGACATTCAAGAAGTCATTGGGAGTGCTATTGCTATCAAGATTCTGAGTAATGGCATTGTGCCCCTTTGGGCTGGTGTTGTTATCACAGCTTGTGATTGGTAATTTTTCTTCAGCCTTGTTTCTGAAATTAATATATATATATATATATATAGTATATAAGTATGTATTGGAATGCTTGTGGGTTGAATTCATTTTTGTTTGTGCTGTTTTATGGGGACTAGTTTTTTGGATTCTGTATAGTTTGTCTTTTTTGATGAGGGTATCTAATTTTCAGAAATTTTTCTTTTTGCTTTTTCATTGATTGAACTTGTTAAATTTTTTTTTTTTTTTTTTGGGAATTCAATGATTTGCTTAAGGTCTGATTTGGATGAAACCTAGGGCTTTTTTTATTTTATTTTTATTTTTTTTTACATTTGATTAAGTTTGTGCTTTTGGATGAAACCCAATTAGTTTTTTGAAGTTCTTTATACATTTAATTAAGTTTGTGTTTTTGGATGAGGGTGTCTAATTTTCAGATTTTTTCTTTTTCATTGATGGAACTTGCTAAATTTTTTTTGGCTGGCATTCAGCGTCTTGCTTAGTTTTGGATTTGGATGAAACCCAATTAGGTTTTTGAAGTTCTTTATACATTTGATTAAGTTCTTCGAACATAATTTTGAACTTAATTCTGTGTGTGGTTCAAAAATATTTCTCTACAAATGACTACTGTTCCAAAATTTTCTAATAACAGTTGGTGTTCGTTCCATTTGATTTGTTTGTTTCCTGGGAAAATGGATGACAAAAAATAAAATTGTAATTTTAGATCTTATGCTTTTCGTTTTTGTGTCGTTTCCCTGTAATAAGACAGAGTGGAACTTTTTTCTTATTGTTACGGTTATATGATTTAAAAGTGCTATTTTTTTTTTTTCCTCATCTATGAGGTTTTACTAACCAACAGGAGCTAAATGAAAGATAAATCTAATTATTAACTTGTGTCTGTCTTTTGTTGTTTTGTTATAGTTTCATCTTTCTATTACTTGAGAACTATGGTGTGAGAAAATTAGAAGCAGTTTTCGCCGTTCTCATTGCCACCATGGCAGTGTCATTTGCATGGATGTTTGGTGAAACAAAACCCAATGGCTTAGAACTTCTTCTTGGTGAGATTTTCTTTTTTAATTGATGCAATGGAATTTTCCCCCATTTTTGGCCCTTTAATGTTAATAAACTAATCGTTCCTCTAAATCTGAAGTACCGTCAAATTGGATCGTTTTTTGTAGGTATTTTGATTCCAAAACTTAGCTCAAGAACAATTCAACAAGCTGTGGGAGTTGTGGGTTGCATTATAATGCCTCACAATGTCTTCTTGCACTCTGCTCTCGTACAGTCACGAGAGATTGACCACCGCAAGGTAGGCCGGGTTTCAGAAGCACTCAGATACTACTCCATAGAGTCCACCATCGCCCTTATGGTCTCCTTCATGATCAATCTTTTCGTTACAACTGTGTTTGCAAAGGCATTTTATGGTACTGATATAGCCGATAGTATCGGATTAGTAAATGCAGGGCAGTATCTTCAAGAGAAGTATGGGAAAGGACTGATCCCAATTCTATATATTTGGGGAATAGGGTTATTAGCTGCTGGCCAAAGTAGCACCATCACCGGCACTTATGCAGGACAGTTTATCATGGGAGGTTTTTTAAACTTGCGTTTGAAGAAATGGCTCAGAGCATTGATAACAAGAAGCTGCGCTATTGTTCCAACTATAATAGTAGCTCTTGTTTTTGATACCTCTGAGGATGCATTGGATGTTGTGAATGAATGGCTTAATGTGCTTCAGTCGATGCAGATACCTTTTGCACTTATTCCCCTTCTCTTTTTGGTGTCCAAGGAGGAGGTCATGGGAGTTTTTAAAATTGGCCGAGTTCTCAAGGTGCATTATTCTTTCTCCTTTTCTGCGTGTTGGTATTAGTCTTTAATGATCAATTACTTAGTTACTTTACTGCCTGATTAATTTTTAAGGTTACGAAAATTGTCATTCTTAACTTTTCCAGGGATCTGCTAATCCTCAGTGTCTTTTTTGACTTAATTTGTACAGTCCCAAGTATTTTAGGTAGCTAAATCATCAAATTAATTGGACACTTAAAAATTGATATTCTGAGAGGAGCTAGCAGAACTTATTTACCTGTATGTTCGTGATTTATCTGCCAATTCTGTAAAATGCTTCTCACTAAAACTCATCCAAAGGTGAACACGGACAATTGATATCAGGCTCATTGTTTCTTGATATTTTACGAAATTGGAGAAGTACCCCTTCATTTCCTTTATTTCAACTTGTTCGAAGGATAATCAAGGACAGAAATTGATGAATTTTGGTAGGGTAGACTGTCATAGGCACATTCTAGCTGGTGCTATATATCATGGGTGAGTGAGTGGTGATTTTGTAGTCATAAAAGATGCGTTGATCTGCCAGTGTCAATGCTTCTCTTTTTGCTTCTTTAATTGCCATTTTTACATGTACATGATTAAGGATCTTACTTGTTCTGTATATCACTGGTAGCATCCATAAAGAACAAAAATGTTAAATCTGTTTTTCATTTTATTATATATGACGTGCTTTACATGTTGTTTGGGCTGTCTTAATGTTAACTTTAGTTAGTAAGGTGACTTTATGAATTGACATTCTACTTTTTCTGGATTTTTGTCTTCAGACGGTTTCAGGGATCGTGGTTGCCCTGGTAATAATGATCAATGGGTATCTTTTACTGCAATTTTTCTCTGCTGAGGGAAGTGGAGTGTTGTTTGGCATTCTGATATACACCTTTACAGCTGCATATGTTGCGTTTATTATATACCTTGTTTTATGGGGCATTTCCTTTTCTAATTGCTTTGGTTTTTTACAACGTAAGAGGTTAACAAGCACAGGCACTGGGAATTGACTAATCAATCTCCAACACCATTGTCAAATGCCCAAGACTGGAATCTGGCTGTGCTTTCAACTGTTGCTGCTAAATTGCTTTTGCACCGCCTATTGATTACTTTTGGACAATACATCATTTAATTATTGCATACTTCCGGGGATTGAATGTGCATAGAGTCTGAAGCAGCGGTTTTACTGTGGGATCCTCTTTGCCTTACGAATAGTAGGTAGTTTCTTCTTGAACCTGGTTTTACTTTTTCTTGTATATTGGAAGACAGGAAAAGAAGGCTGAGCGTGTCCGTTACATGGGCATACTTCTATTTTGCCACAAAAGTTCGGAAGCCGTTATGTACCATTAGATTTCAGAAATTATGTGCTTTGGCTGTAGCTGCTACACTTAGAAAATGATAGTTGAGTAGGCAATGTTTCAACATTTGTATGCAATATGTAATGGCATAAGTTATTTAATAATTCCTTTTCACATCCTTATTTTGGTGAACTCCTCATAGCTCTCTCTCTCTTGTATTTCATTTTAAATTCCTGTTCACTTTTGATTTTGGGCAAAAACAACTAGTGGTTGTGATGGTGTGTTTTTAAGAAGAATGGCACATGTTTGATGGGGGAGGATTTGAAGGCTTTAAGGAATGGATGTTGGCCTCTACTTTCCGTTCATGTGGAACTTTGTTGTCTTGTCCCTTCGTGCATTTATTTTTTGTTGATATTGCTTTGTTTAGATTTCAATTAGTTGAGAATGCTCTCTCCCACAGGAGTGGGGAGCTTGGTTTGCAAGTGACCCCTTTAAACCCAAGGGTTTGGTTCAAGTGGGTAAGTGTTACAAGTTATGAAGCACGGACACTCCTCTCAGGGTCGCGTTTCAGTGTTGGACACTTTTTGGCCATGGACACGCTTGTCCGAGGCTCGGACACGTGTCCGACACTTCTGTAAAGTGTTCAAAAATTATTTTTTATTGGATACAGGGTGGACACAGCTCGGACACGCGGGGGATACGGCTCGTACACGGTGGGGTATATTTTGTAATTTTTTTTAAAGATAAAAGGGGTACCTAATGTAATTTTTTAGAAGTTTAAAAGTAAAACTTTGAAAAAAAAAAAAAAAAAAAAAAAAAAAAAAAAACACAACTACAGACAATAGAGTATTACACAGTAAATTTATTTTCTCTCGCTTTCTTTCTCAGTATTTCCTCTTCTTCAATTATCCCTGTACATGAATAAATTTTTTTTTTATTATTTTTTTATTTTTTTTTAGTTACATAAACAAGACTTTGTGAAAGACTGAAAGTATATATGTTTATTCATGTATATATTTAGTCCATTATAGCTATGTCTCTTCTGCACATCTTTGTTTGGAATTTGGATCAATTTTATTTTTCATTTATTTTCTATTTTGTCTTGTCTATGTTTTTCTTATAACAAAGATAATATTATTGAAATTGGTCCTCTTATTTGTTATTGTTTAATTTGTAATTTTGTATTTATATATTCCTGTTTGTTATTAGGAAAATGAATGTGTAAGGTTCTAATAATTATATTTTGAATATATATATATATTATTTTATAGGCGTATCCCCACTATGTCCTAGTTTTTTGAAATTTGTCATGTCAGCGTATCCGTGTCGTGTCGTACCCGTGTTTCGTGCCGGTATCCGTACTTCATAGGTTACAAGCGTTCTACATCGGATCCGGTTGAAAAATTATATGGGTATATATGGGCTGCATGTTAGTCACATCTAACAGTTTAAAGTTTTGGGTTGAATCACGAAGCACTCACCCGTTACAGTAAGTCACTTTGACATGATATTTTTGGTCATTTTATTAACATCATCGTACATAAAAGTCACTAATTTGGAGCTTATGGATAAAAATGTTTGAAAATTTTGTTTTATAAAATTTTATTTATTTTTTTAATTAATCCATGATATATTTTAGCATTACATTGGAGTCATATTCTTTTATAAAAACAATTACAAATGCATTGATTAGTATGAAATTTTTAAAAAATTACCATTTTATGATTTGTAGTAATGCATAAAACTTACAAGAAAAAAAAAGGCGGTTATAAATTCATAATTCTTTCTCAAGTGATCAAAACTTTCTTGTGTTCTTTATAGGAAAAATTTGTGGTGTATTTAGGTGGTTATGAAAATTGTTTTTTTCCTCAAAAATTTCTTTTCTAGCTATCCATACTCTTGGAGTGTTATATATATATATTTGGACAATATATGCTTAGTTACTCACCGGTGAGTAGCTTCACCTTACTAACCTCTTATGTGTCCCAATAAAAAAATAACACATCAGCTTTAAAAGAAAACCGGATCACCCTTTCTCTTTTCTTTCTATTTTTCATGGCTTCCCAAACCTACACCCTCATTTCTCCTTTATTCTTCTTCTTCTCACCTCCATAGGACATCATGAATCAATGAGCAAGTATGTTTGATTCGTGTTTGGGTTATTTTTCTTTTACCTCTCATGCTCCATTGAACATCATCACTCAACAGGCAAGCAAGAACTGTAAGTTCAACTAAGTCTTGTAGTGGAAGTATGATTTAATTTTTTGCTTTGCACATTTAGGGTTTAATTTTTAGAAAATCATCATTCAATAAGCTAGTATTCTCAAATTTTTCTCTTTTCTTCCCTATTTTTTTTTTCCTTTCTTAATTTCTGTTCTTGATGGCCCAGGTTGAGTTTTATAAAAGAGGGAAGATTATGTGTGATATCAAATGGACCAAATATATCAATTAATAGGCAAGCAAGAGCTATAGGTGCAATTGGGACTTTTTCTTTTGGCGACATCATCGGAAGTTAAACTATTGATTCCATTTGACCACTATTACTCTGATTTATGGTTGATATATGCTTTATAGTACAAGTTTTTTATACAATGGACCATTGAAAAAAACATACAGAGCTTTTCAATTAAAATGGGTCGATCCAGCTTTCTTTTTTTTTATTTATTATTTTGCTAATTTTGTTATTAAAGTTGAAGTATTATTTTTTTATTGGGACACATAAGAGGTCAGTATAGTGAAACTACTCACTGGTGAGTAGCTAAGCATTGTCCTATATTTTTTTCATTTTATTTCCTTTCATTTCTTGTTATTTCTGTATAAGCAAATGAACCCTTTAGATTTACCAACGTAGGAAAAAACCAAAACCATTGGTTTGGTTAGATGGAAACATTTTTTTTTTTTTTTTGAACAATTTAAAATTTTGGTTAGCAAGAAAAAAAAAATTTTGAGGAAAAATTACTTTCCATAACCACATAACTTTTTGGTAAAATTTTCCTCAAAAAATACAGGTAAATTTTGATTTCTTGAGAAAGATTTATGAATAGGGATGGCAATTTCCTCCGAGCCATCGAGTTTCCGCCCCGACTTGCTCCTAATGGGGTAGATTTGGTAGCTCCCTAAATGGGTTGGAGACTGGTATGGTAAAAAAAACTGAAAACCCGAAGTGAGTTTGGGGCGGGGGCGGAGGCGGATTCACTAATAAACCAGCCCCGCCTAGATTATATTTGTACCTTTAAAATTTTTATAAATATATATTTAATATTTTTAAGACATTATTACTTTATTGGAAGTGTCCGTTAATATCTTGAATATTCACTACTTAGTATTTTTTAAAGTTGTGCCAACCTATTTATAGCCCAATTTGAGTACATTGAGCTAGTTTTATTTTACTAAATAATAAAAGTGGTATAACCCACCTCTCCTCACAATTAAATGGAGTATACGGGGCGGAGTCGGTACTGTTGACCTTAAGGATTTCATTCAAGAAAATCTAATTTTTTTGATGATCATAAACATTAATTGTGTTTAAGGATTAATTTTTACATCGAGTGTTATAGATTATTTATATTCAAAGAATGATCTCAATGAAGCAATAAAGATCATTCTAAGTATTTCATTATTCAAGATCACATCAATGGAAATCAATGAATACAAAGAAGACTTGAAGTTGCAAAATGTTATATACAAAGTCCATTCAAAGATAGCTTGGACAACAATGATCAAGAAAGCAACTCAAAGAAAGGAAGAAACCAAGAATACCTCAAATCATAAATGATCAAGGACAAAACTTAAAGAAAGGGGTAGATAGGATAGTGAAAATTTAGGATTCAATGTTAAAGTATTTATGAATTCATTTGAAGCTCATCTCTATAGGACCATGTATACCATTACATCATTCATATGAGTCCTTAAACCAATAGCAATTGACTATGAACTTCATCATATATATATTTGACATATAAAGTCATTGCTAAATAAATAAGTTAGTTCAAGCTTGCATAAGCTTTGAAAGAATTCAACACTTTGAGCTAGAAATGCTAAGACCATGTACATCAATCATATGATTTATTTGGTCTCTAGAAAGTAGAGTCTAAGGCGTCGAACTTATTTTTCATCCACAAAGCCTTTGTTACCATGACTTGGTAAAAGACTTTACGACCCGTGTATCTCTTCTGAAAAACTTTTTTTTTTTGCTAAGTATTAAAAAAATGAAATTTTGAAATAAAGATATTTTCAAAATAGTTTTTCCTGGTATTTACTTATTACATACTCCCTCCGTCTTAAAATACTTGTCCATCTTTCCATTTTTTGATGTCCCATCCTATTCCAAAATTGAATGTACAATTTTTTATAGCATTCCCAAATTATCCTTTTAACTAAACAACTGTACTAATTACGGAGCACTATTTTATCTTTTAGTAAGGACATATTTGAAACTTCACTCTTATCAATACAATAAAAAATTATTAAAACTCCACTATCATAAAAAGTTGGTTCCCCCATGTAGGACGTATATTTTGGGACAGAGGGAGTATTAATTAGCCAAATCTGATTTTATGAAATTTAATTATCAATTTACATTGGTCTACATGAAGAATGATTTTTTACCAAAACTATCGGGAACCCTATTTTGTACTAAAACTAAATTTTTATATTTTAATTTAGTTGGATTTAAATTTTTTTATATTTTTTATTGAATCCAAATGGGGGTACTTCCTTATTTACATTGTATACTTAAAGTAAATAGACATATAAAAATAGTAAAGACATTTACTTAAACGACTATAATCTTAAACGGCTATATTGTCATGAAGGGACTCTATATATATCAGCTACGCAAGTTGAACTGGAAAACTAACGTAGAGAGCCATTTTTGCAAACCTTGTCAGAGCTTCTGTCACTTAGCATTTACAGAGCTTTTGTTCTGTGTTTGAATTAATCTCTAGCAGAGCTTTGTTCTGATTTCTGATTCATATTTATAGAGCTTTTGTTCTATTCATTTCTCATCTTCTCTTATACATATCATTCTTAGAGTTTGAGCTTCAATTGAATTCATATATACTCTATTGCAAGATTTGATTTGTATCAGTTTTTGAGAGAACTCTTGTACTACCAATTGTAGTCCATAAATATGGTCTAAGTATATCATACACTATAGTATTACTATTTAAATATTATGCAA